AAATGTAAACAATAAAATAAAGTTTTTATAATTCAACGCGGATGAAGCCGCGCGGGAACAGCTAGTGTGTTATAAATATTGTTAAAACAATACAAATAACCACGAGAGGAAATAATTTTGTGATTATCAAAATTTTTATTCGGCAATATAAATGACATTGTTTATAAAAAGTATTTAAACATTGTTATAGAAAATATTGATATCATAATATTAAAATACTCTTAGTTACACTGGATGACTCTTGATGTGACTATATTAAGAATTTTATGTTTCAAATGAGGAGGAACAAATAAAACCCACTATTATTGCCTAAACATTTATTAATAAATTAAATAATTTTTACTTAATAACGTTGAGTTATTATTAACATAACGTGACTAAATTTTCTTGAAGCTTAGTATATTTCCCAGTTGTTCAGGTTTGAAGCTTCCATCATTTTGAGGAACAATTCAGGTGTCAAGAGATCGTCTGATGGTAGCTCATCGAGATTTTTCATAAACTGCTTGTATTTAGAATTATGTTGTTCCTTGTAGTAGGAAATTAAATCTAAATCTTTATATAGTTTTCTTATACGTTTAACATCTTCGGGATCCCAGCTGCCATACGACGCTTTGAATATTTCCTTCTGTTCGGGTGTTGCTCGCAGCATAGTGTTCACGGCGTAAAAAGTGCACTTACCTTCTTGTATGTCGCTACTAGTTTTGCCTGCTTTAGACTCCACATTGGTTAAGTCTGTGTAATCATTCTGCAAATTAGTAATATAAAGAGTTAATTTACAATTCCTAGTTCTTTTGCCCGATTGGTGTGAGTTGAAAAGAAAACGCAATCAAGAAGCCTGCGAATTCTGCCTGACAATGATTTACATATATGCCAATTATTAATCGAGATTCATTCAGCCATACAGGCAGCAAATTCTAACAAACATCCATCCATTCACTTAAACTTTCGCAATTATAAAATTAAAAAGAAGTCAGAAATTACAGCATATTTTTACACGCTACAGACTATTATATATTTTCACATTAAACATAGGAAGTTTAATTGCCATGGTAACCGCAATTGTGAAATTTTCAATTGCAAGTTTTACAAAATAACCAAAGAAAAGTTTTTATGAATGCAGATGACGTCGCACGGAGCTAGTAACTACTATAACTCTAATTTTCGTAAATAAAACGTGCCAATATTAAAAAAAAAAAACATACAGACGAATTGAGTAACCTCCTTCTTTGAGAAGTCAGTCAAGAAACCGACAGTACACCATCAATATAGTCCACACATATTCAAGTTAATCACACGTTGATTTAAATAACCAATTTATTTTTATTCATTACTTATGTAAGTTAAAGAAACTCTCCAAGGTGTACCTTTTTTTATCTAAACCTACTTAAAGCGTATTCTTGTTATCAACATTATGTCTTTTTTGTTGAGTGAATAAAAAGATGACGCAAAAATTACATGCATGGATTGATTGTTAAGAAGATCGCGTCAGTCGTCAATATTAATTGCTTTGTTTATATTAACGCAAAATACGCGCTAGCCGTGGAGTTGCGGAAACTGTAGCCCCTACTACTACTGTGTTTTTTATATGATTGTGTACTCACCATCATTTGGTACAATGCGCCCACGTCGCGGACTATATCTCTGATGCGCTCGAAAGTAGGCTCATTATCTTTTCCGCATAAAATCAAGCTCAACATTATAGGTATTTCTAAGCAGTAGTATGTGCATTTGTATCTTATTATTTTATTATAGTTCTCTAGTGTGTATAGAGAAACATCTTTTGCTTTTGGAATTGTGTTGTCCAGGTACTGGC